ACATAATGGGTCAATGCCGGAAAGTGAGATTTGACTGTCTTCAACAAAAACAAATTTACAAATAGGTTTCATATCGCCGATAATTTTTTAAAAGGTTATTTTGGACAAAAAAGTTGTTTTAAAAGAGGTTTTTTTTCGGACAAATTAAAGTTATTAATAAATGAATAGTAACAAAAGTCCAACGTCTCATTTATTTTGGGACGAAGGGAGTACTTCGTACGAGTCACTCCACTCCATTAGATATTTGTACTAAAATACTTCATTTTTCAAAAGATTAATGCACTTAGAAACGAAACAAGAAATGAGGGTCGGCTCAACTGTCAGGTGGTGAATTGATCGAACTTCATAGACTGCAGTAACAAATAAAGAAATGCCCTTCATGCTCCTAATATAATTTACAAGGGTAATGGTTCATTTTTTAAGAGTAAAGATAAGTTGAGGTAAATGAATTTTAATGCCAAAATTAAAGTTGCACTTAGGTTGCCAAAGTGTTGCTCAAGTTTCAAAGTTGTAGTTAAAGCACTTAAGTTGGCTTAAAATCACTACTATAAGCTAGCACAATAAGCTCTTTTTCAATTCAACTAGTGTGTGGCTGTGGTGACAAGCTAAGGTTGCTAATTTGTACTTCATTAATTTGTAATATTTTCGACTGTTTGTATAGCTAGCGTGTGGTTTGGGTGTTACCTCGAGTGTTTAGTGCAAAATTAATTGTGTCAATTATTTTGGAATAAAAGAAGTAATTTATTATTTCATACAAAATTTAGCAAATATTATGCGTTTGTCGTTGGGTGTCTTGCTTTTGTTATGGTTATTGAGTCGTCGTTATCAATTACTTTTTCAGGCATTGAGATTGAATAAGAAAATAAAAATAATCTAAGCATGTATGAGTGAAGCACAAACCCTAATACCTTATATCTCCTCAGAAAAAGAAAGGATTTTTTTACGGGACGAAGAATAATTTCATAAATGTCAAACGCTAATAATATAAATCAACCTTACCCCTATTTACTTGGAAAAAAAAAGTTACTGTACAATATTTCGTACGAAATGCTCCGTATTAAATTTACATTGGTTAACCAATTGGTCTATGGTGCAGTAATAAATGAGACTACACTTATAAAGAGTGTCGCGTGATCGATCTCCCTCACAACAACAATAGGGAGGGGATTGGAACCTAACTATCCAAAACCGATCCCAAACCTGAATAATCCCAAAAGATGAATCGAGTGAAACATCAAAAAAAAAAAAAATTACCTTGGTTAAAAAAAAGATCAAGACAAATTGACAAACCCTATATTCTAAGAGTTTAAAAACTACTCCCTCCGCCGCCGAAAGAACAGCTCTTTTGGGATGATTTTGCGGGTATTAATAAAGTTAAATAAAAAGAAGTAAAGCATATTGGAAAGATAAATTTACATGGGGTTTACAAAAAGTAGAGAGAGATAGTAATAAAAGTATATTGAAAAATAAAATTTTATATGGGGAAACTAATTTTGCACAAATATTATTGCAAATTGGTGGGTATTTTAGGGTCTGTTCTCGTTGACTGAACTTTGAGTTGAATTGAACTGAGCTGAAGTGAAGTGAACTGAACTGAGTTGAAATGAGTATTTTATAAGAGAAGGAAATTAGGAGTGAGATGTGGAAAATCTGTAAGCTTTGGTTGTGAGTAATCACTAAGCTTCTTTGGAGCCGTCATCTCTGATTCGGGATCTGATGATACCTCTGAATCGCTAGAACCAGTTGGAGGATTGCGGTGATTATTATCACCAGAGTCCGCCAGAATTTGCTTGTAAAGGTTCTTCTGTCTATGAAAGGATCGTTCGATCTCAGGATCGAATGGGATGTACCCTGATCTGGAACACCTGGGCATAAACAAAAAAACTAAAAGCAAATATGAGATTTGCCTCAAAGAACTAACGTTCTCTAAGACAAAAAGAAATAACCTAGACTACAAAAATAATCAGAAATAAAAATAAAACCGTTTCCCCGGCAACGGCGCCAAATTTTGACAGGGTAAAGTCGTATCTATCCCCTAATCAAAAGTAATTCCTAAATACTCTAACTAATATAGATAGGGAAGTAGGGTCGAATCCACAGAGAAATGAGTCTAACTATTCCTAATTAACTAATATAATCTAGATTATGAGGTAACCAATATATATATTTGAATATGAAACTAAACTACGAAGATTAAGAATAAGGAGAAAATAATATATAAAAGGATCTAGGGCATAGGTTCACCAATAAATAATATTCCAGGGTAGAATATAATAATAATCATTCATCAATGCATACATTAATCAGATTATAAAGGGCTTTCGCTACGTATTACAATCACACAATTAATTTACCGGTATTAAATCTCATCTTTCGAATCTCGACTTAACCATTTATAAATTAACCTGCCTATTGAAACTAGACCTAAACATTAATTCCCATCTGTCGAATCTCAAATCAATATTGTTAAACTCATGCATAAAAGATCTGCGCAAATCTAGTCACAGAGCATTAAATCAATCAATAGGAAATTAATCTAGCATTGATAATTAACAACAATAAATTACCCCTTCATATTATTTATGGATCCCCATAAACCCGAGAAATAGAACTACTCACTCATAATAAAAACTAAACTAATCAAAGCAATAAAACAAAACATGATCAAAAGAATAAAATAAACAACTAAGATTAAGGGAAGAGAAATCGTTACCAAAATAAATCTAGAATTAAGAATCAAATAATGAACAAAATATAGGAGAGAGAAACTAATCTAAATGTTAAGTAGAGAGAAAAAATCTAAGAAATAATTAAGAAAGAGTAAAAGAAGGTAAAGAAAAGTACTAAACTCGTTTTACGTAGAAGTATTTATACTCCGCAAGAATCCTAAACTAAAACAAACTTAAACGACAAAATTAACTCCTAATAATAACACGCGCCCGATCAGGCGAGGCACCGCCCGATCGGGCGCGCCTTTTTCCTCTCAAGGTTGAATCTCGCGCCCGTTCGGGCGCGTCTTCGGGCGCCGACCTTTGCTTCCCTCGCCCGGGCGGGCGCCAGCCTTTTTGGTTGGGCGGCTCTCTTGGGCCACTAATTGGACTACGATTGGGCTCCAATTCTTCGAGCCAATCTAGGTTTCCTCTTCGGGTCTTGAATACTCGATCCAAATGCCCCGGTATCACATATACCGGGCCCTTAATCACCGGTTCGATGACTCTAACCGGCACTGAGCTATAGAATCTGGTCGTACTTCTCCAATGCTCGTGATTGCTCCATAATATCTCGGGAAAATGCTCCAAAAGTGCAAATCCCTGCAAAAGTCAACCAAATCTACGAAAACACTAGAAAACACCAATTAGTAACAAAAGTGGCTCTAAAGAGCCAAAAACACTACTAATTATGACCAAGGGACGGGGGTAAAATAGTATATAAAATAGATACATCACTGAATTAAAGTGAGCTGAATTAAACTGAATTGAATTTCAGCGTATGAGAACAGACCTTAATGCTAATGGTTCATTCTTTATGGGACTAAAATTAGACTAAAAGAGCGGTTCTTTCGGGGACGGAGGGAGCAATTAACTACTAGAAATCTATAAAAGTTCTTGACAAGATCATAAGGTTCAAATCCCCCTATTCTTATTCGTAATTTTTACTCGTATTGCCTTAGCGGTCTAGCAGAAAAAACAGTTAACAATGGAATAAAATCTATAGGAGTCAATTGTAGGTCAGGTCAATTCAATAACTTCAGAAAAAGTGAGAAGATCAACTCAAATTTATTTACTTTGAAGTATTAATTAAAGACCTTGTCAAAAATCTTGCTTAGGAAGACGAAAGAATGACTAGATGCACCGATCGATGATCAAAAAGCATGCAAAGCAACATATTGAACTAATTGAAGAAATAAGAAGGCAAATGTTACGAGAAGCTGTTAAGAATCTCTCTGCTGCTCTATACTCAAAAGATGTTCATTTCTTGATGGAGCTTATTCAGGTTTATTTCTTGTTACTTTTATTTTTTGTTACATTTTATTACTTGTGTTATATACTTAGATGCTACTATCTCCATTGGACAATGATGTAATTATTTAGAATTTTTTTGTGAGACAAATTTGGTCAAAGTCGGAACATCATCGTGGAACGAAGGGAGTAGAGTTTATAACGAGTCCTGGTTTCTGACCCTCCGGCGTTATAATTTTTCTTGTTTTATAGTTATGTCTCAAAAGTAAAAATCAAAATAGGAAGAACTATTGTAGACTAAGGAAGTTATTTTTTGTAATTTTTCATAATCGGGTCGAATTTTAGTTCTTAAACAAGATTGTAAGTGGTTTACAATGGTAGTTAACTTGAAATGAGCCGTTTCTTGTGAATTTACATTCTTTTTGGTAGCCGTTCTATTTTGAACATTTGAATAAGTGTATCTGTGTATGACTATAAGCCTATGATCTTATGTTAGATTTATTAGAGTAATTTAGTGAGTAGTGTATAATCTTCACCTTTTATTATTCATGCTTTTAAATGTTGAATTAAAAGTGAATGAGGAAGTATAATTTAAGGAGTACTCCTTTTATAATGTTTTGTCTCACCTATTAAAAGTACACTAGTAGTGTTAGGCTAAGACTTTATTCTCATAGCTCGAAATAAGTTAATCTGCTCTTAATATATAAAGATCTAGTCTGTTGGTATAGTATGACAATTTATAAGAAAATATCATGTTAGATATTATCATATTCGTCTTAATGTGTTTTTATCAATGTCTAATTTTCTAATTTTCTTTTTTTAGTATGTAAATTGATGTTCTTTGATGATTTGTTTCGAATTTTTCTTGTTTGGCTTGATTAACAAGATTAAACGATTCAATTCTGATAGTCTTGCAAGGTAAAGAAAACATAACTTAATTAAGATAAGCTTAAGTGGTAAAATGTGAATTAAAGATTGAAAGTGGGTTAAGCGAGAAAAATAACTAGTAATAGAAAGATTAGTTATTGTGAAAGTACATGATTGATATGAATACTAGCACTTTTGTGTAAATAATGCAGCATTTTTTTCCTCATATATGGAGCTGGAGTTTGATGATATGTTGTATTATATTAGCTTGTTTTATGCTCTGGTTTTCTTAGTGTACTTTGTTTGCTTTTGTCGGTACTTCTACCAAGGCTGGCAAACGCAAAATGGTTATATTGGAGAAAAAGGTTAGTCTATTCAAACTTGCGGATTGTAATGTGCCCCCAATATATTGTAATGCCCCCATTATATTTTGGATCATTCTTAATCATTCTGGCTGTAAATGTAAAATGTAGCTGTGATTGCATAATTTTTCATATGTTTATTTGATTTTTTTTATTTTATTGTAGCCTCAAAATATTTTCATCTTAAAACTAAAGCAAGCTATACCATCAATATTATGTCTGCATCGAGTGCCTCCAAATAAATGAGGCCCTAATAGCCCTTTTGGTGTACATGACTGTAATTGCTAAGGGCTCATATGTAACTTTGTAAATTATGTCGCATAGAAAAGTCCATGGTAATGCTTTTCCTCCTCATAGTATGCGAGTTTCTTTTAATTTACCAAGAGAAGTACATACTCTGGAATACAATTGCATCAACATGAACATTACTTGCAAATTTCTCTTTTACCAAGTCATTATTATTTCCATTGTTTCTTATAGCTTACCAAACACTATTTCTGCTCGTATTGAAACAATTACAAGCGCAATTAGCCTACTGTATTTTTTTTTCCTTTTTTGTGTGGATTTCTATTGAGCAATCACAGAGTATTGGTACAGAAATAGTGTATACTGTCTAAGGCCTTTTTTCTAATTTTGTAAGGCTTACCGTAACTATGTAATCCACAAATATTTGTACTTGTTGACACCTTTCTGCCACATTAATATCAGAAGCTGAACAAAACTGATCATGTTTAAATGTTCTTTACATCATTATCAAGGCCCTTATCACTAATGAAATCAATTTTGTGGTTTTTTGTCTCAGGAATTGGGTTCAAAAGCGTGTTTCTACTGACAGCTCATCCCTATATCTTTAGTAATGGCTATCAAATTCGTTTCAGTGAAGCACCATGTCCTCAATGTGATGTAGCCTACATAGTACCTGAGTGGGTTGAATATCCCTCAGTGGCTGATATCCAGCAAGTGTATGGCAGTAATAGAGCCCTTCCGACTACTACACTGATACTGCCTTTGAAGGGTGATAAAGTGAAAGCTGTGAAGGAGCAGCTTTCAAGTCTCCATCCTGAGTTACTCTTGTTTCTCTCAAAAATCAAGCGTCTTTCAGTGAAAGAGCACAGTGAAGATCCAAAACTTAACACCATACGAGCTGTTTCCATTTCTACTGAAAGGGATTTTAAGTCAAAGAAGGATATTGATGCTGAGTCATATACAGTTCATTTGATGGCAGAAGAGGAAGGTAGTCCTAGCAGCGAAGGTGAATGTGGCTACTATATGTGGAGGCAGGAGTTTCGTGTCAAGGATGAAAACAAGGTTGAAAAGAGGAAGGAACTCGAGGAGTGGTCTATTACATTAGCCTTTCCATTTGGCAAGCGTCTAAATAGAGGAATGATATCTCCTGGAATCTATGCATATCTTCCGACTGAGACAGTTACAAATTTGCCTTTCATAATTCAGGCAGATTTCCTTCTTCCATCATCTCGTGAGACTATTTTGTGGGATGACATATGGAACCAAGGGATTCTAGACTGCATTCCTTCTGCTTTTGTCAATGCATTTGTTGCTCTTGTCAAGACGAGGGAAGATGCGCCTACCTCTTCTCTGGCATCCATGTTTGCTTTCTTGCCAGTTAAAGAAGCGTGTCACCCAAAGTTAGATGCAGTCAGGAATTCAATCAAAGAGAGACTGCTTCTGGAAAATATTATTCCATCTGAGTCGCATTCTGACCAGAAGATTTTCCATAAACCTCAAGAAGTTGCCCGGTTGAACCAATCTTTCTGGCAGATATTGTTGAAGGCAAAGCAGAAAGGGATGAAATTGCACTATCTATCATCTCTAGGAAAGCAATATTGCATTCTTCTTTTGATGAAGACAGGTACAACGATGCGCTTAGCTTCCTTGGTGTGAAGCCTGTTGACAAAGAGTGGTACCCAAAGTGCATCCAGAGTTGTAATCTTGTCGTGGGAGTTGGGGTGGACATTTATATAGAGTTGCTTAGATTTCTTGCGCGGAATTGGGCATCTAATTTATATTTTGCTAACACCGATATGAGAGGCATACCCTTACTGAAGTATGTAGGTGCTTCAGGGGATATATCTCTTCTTAGCATAAATGAAGCAGCTAGTCAGGCAAGTGGTCTATGTTTGTGTCGATCCCAGGATGCACGATATATTTCATGGATGATAGACTGGAGCGAAGAATTCAAATTTGAGTCAGGACTACGATTCTTACCTGAGAAATTGCAAATTGCCATCTTAAGTGTGGATGATGTACTGCGCTGGTTAAAGGACTATTTGAATGTCATTACTTTTCGCATGGATGAGTTTGCACTCAAGCTTCGCAACTCACTTGGAAACAATTGCAGAATGGTATATGCTTTTGCACATTTTCTACATCACTCATTTTCCAAAGGATTTTTGGGTGAGCTAGAGTTGCGACATTTAAGTGCTGCAATGCCACTTGTGAACAGTTCTGGAGGTGTATCTGTGCATTCTGCGTGATATGCTGGTTATTTTGCTCCAGAGAAGGAGCTGATGAAGTTCCTCATAAAGTATTTTGGTGCTTCTGATATTCCTGATGTAAGTCCTCCAGATGCTGCCTTTCCTACTGTATATGGGCCATTGACAAAAGAAAATGTTTTCTTGCTTTTGAATGCCTGATAACAGTGATAAGTTTCTGAATTGCATTTAGAGTGGAAGCTGGTTGGTAACAATGAGCGGTCATCCTGTTTACAAACCTCCTAATCAATCATTTTTTTCGAGTTTATCATGGGGGAGTCTGTTGCAGAATGGCTCCGAAATGGTTGATATTCCCTTGGTTGATCAGCACTTCTATAACTACAAGTTGAATGAGTATCAGGAGGAGCTAAAAGCAATAGGGGTGATGTTCGATTATGGTCAAGCATGTAAATTCATCGGGAATCATCTCATGGCTCTGGCTACTGGTTCTAATCTGACTAGAACCAAGGTTATTGCGCTGCTTAAATTTATACAATATCTGAGAGAAAATGTTGTTAGTGGATGTGATTGTCAACGCCATAAAAAATGTGAGATGGGTAAAGACCTCGTGTGGTGAAAGATCCCCGGTTAAATTTTCAAATGATTTTGGGTTTACCACATGCTTTTTAAATTCTAAGTTATGGATGACTAATTTTGTGGTTTTATTTGTATATCATTTGACTGATTTATTGATATCAATCTTGAGTGCAGGGATATTTTGGTAGGTTCACAGGAAATAGTTATGGCGTCAATCATTCTTCATTTTCTTTTGTTGCATTTGATTAATATTAGCTCAGTCTTTTTAGTGATTGAGCTTTCTCTGCCTTTTATTAAGAAGTTTTTTACCAAAATTCTGGATAGCAAGCAACTCAGGTATTGGCAGCCTTGGTGCTACTGCTTTGTGTGAGAGCATAGTAACTCACTTTACTGTGGTAGGGGCTGGAATGGAATACAGGCTTGGTCTGAAGGGTGTAGTTTGAGGGTTCTATGTGGAAATGGGGAGGCAGCAACAGTGTGCTTTTTGTCGCTTTTATGTCTGATCCTTCACACCTGTTCATGAGCCCGAGTAACCGACGAGGCAGTGCTTGCAGGTAGCATGCATGTTTCTGCTAGGTCTGTTCCCCATAGGTCTATCGCAGATTAAGTGTATAAGCTGTTAAAGGCAGCTAGAATAATAGAATTAAGTATTTTGAATTTAAAGTATCAGCTTTTGCATATGCCTTCATCATCATTTAGATATCTTAAATATTTGTCCGCAAGTTAACACATTTGTTCTTTTTTGTTTGCTTATCTATGTAACTGATATATCTGCAGGTTAATTATTTGGTGGTTACAAATATCTCTTAATATGGGTGACATTCAGAATGATCCTCTTTCAGAAGAGGAAACTACTTGTAGGTTTCTTTTGTATGAACTTCAGGTATATATATGAACTTCACGTAAAATACAAGCTAATTGTTTATCGTGTTATCATATGTGATTAGCTCTATTTTTTTTATTCTACTGTTTTATGCAGATAATTTTGGGATGAAGTGAGCAAGCCTGAAATATTAGGGCCAAGATGTTACTTGTAGGAGTGGAGCACGTGCTTAAAGGCGCCAAGAAGACAAGGATACAACCAGATGAAGCATGTGTGAGATGGTGATAGTGTTATAGGTTGAGGTTATGGGATTTAATTTCATTTGTAGTACGAGTAGTATTTAATTTATATTTTTAAACGGTAGAAATGGGTAGAATTAGATACGTAAATGATGAAGTAATGCAAGAGCATATAAGTGAATATATGAGCATAATGTGTACTTGTTTTCAACTTCAATATGTGTATTGTGATTTTAGTAGAGAAATTATATCTTTGTTCTTGAGGCTAGGTATCAAGTTGGTGCTTTTTTTTTTTTAATTTATTTATTTTGAGAAAAAGAGGTTAATATCAAGTTGATTAATAATACATTTAATACAAAAGAAAAAAATAAAAAATAAATAAACACAAATTTATAAGGTATAATGAGATAGTTTGCGTAGAAATTCAAGTTGATTGTAGTAGTTAGTAGAAATTATATCTTTGTATACCTATTTGATTTAAAATCAACTAAGTTTTAAGATTTACAAGGCATTGAGATACTTTATGTAGAAATTCAAATTGATTAGTTAAAAGATGCATTGTATTAAGGGACGGAGGGAGTAATATATTTTTTTAAGAATCTTTAAATTATAGAAAATTCTAGATAACTTCACTTATAACAATTGTTTTTCATACATATTTCCCCATAAACACTTATAAATTCATGTATCCTTGCTATTACAAAACCCGAACACAACCACGAATATCACAACAACCGAACACAACCACGAATTTACTTATCTTGCCGTCGGGGGAGCACGCGCGTTTGCGCGTGCTCCAACGACTAGTATGATAAAAAAAAGAATCGGAGTTTCAAAAAGAATAAAACACTACGTTGTCGCCAACAACATGACATGTCGCCAGGCGTATCTTCCGGCGCTGCAAGACAGTTTTTTGCGGATTTTGTTTTAATCATATCTTTTGATCCAGAAATTCAAATAAGTCATATAATATGTCGTTGGAAAGCTCTTGAAGTCTACTTTCCAATCCAATTAGAATCAAATTAAAATCTTTTGTAGATAAACATATATGGCCGACATAGTGGAAGGGTGTCAGTTTTGGATAAAGTTTCATATTCCATTCATATATTTTTCGTGATAGCTCGGAATTAATATTATAATATCATTGGAAATATAATTTCAAGATCTATCAAACCATATAAAATTTGGATAAATATTATGAGGCGCAAAAATAATATTTGAATATATTCCATTTCGTACAAAACAAGGATTCTTAAAAGGAATAATATTATTCAATTTCAAACTCTTTGAAACATAATTGTCAATCCTAACTCCATTAGGATTTAAGAGAACCTTCTAGAATATTATAGAAGACTATAATCAATCCTAATAGCTTTAGGAATGATAATTAATAATAGGCCCTCCTCTAGATCATTGGACAGCATATAAAAATCAAACCGGGCCCAGTTTAGTATTTTGGCCATAACTTTCTCATTATTCATCGGAATTGGGCTTATAATATATCGTTGGAAAGTTCTTTTCAAACCCTATCCAAATACACTATTATTGGACCCTTATCATGGACCAAACTAAACTGGAATTCACTTTTTCATAAATAAGATAAGAAAAGAAATATTTTCAAAAACAGAAAGAAGAGATATTTTAATAAAAACATCCTCAACACTAGACTTTTCACACTTTCGCTATGTTCGATAATCAAATGACATGAAAGGTATTCATCACTGGGTTTGGTTTTTGGGAGACACATTTGGGTGTCTACAACTGCCTAGATTCAATTAGACTAGGTTCCAAGAGAAGGTGAGAGACAAGTTTTACCCTAGCCTCTTATAGAAGCAGAAGGCTGAGGATTTCTCAAACCTCATAATGGAGGAAATGTCAGTGACTGAATATTATACCAAGTTTATTGAGTTGTCTCGTTATCTGAAGAGTCCGTCTGTACGGAGAAGGCAAAGACTAGGAAGTTTGAGAGTGGTTTGACTACTGATTTACAACTTAAGTTATGTGGACAAGTGTTTGAAACCTTGGATGAAGTATATGGTATAGATGCACACTTGTATGCCTTGGAGGTGATAAAAAATAAGGAACTGGCTAATGTATAAGTGAAAGAAAAGAGGAAAGAGGTGGGATAGAATTCTGGGAACTAACATGGTAACCAGAACAACTTCAAGAAGCAGAAATACCACCATAACAACAGTAACTTCCACAACAACAACAACAATTCCCAAGGTAACAATTGTCAAGGAGGACGTAACTTCAATGGAGGGTCTAGGAACAATAACCAAGGAAATAACATAAATGAGAGGCGTTATTTTTGCAAGAGGTGCAAAAATAATCATCTGGAAAGGGACTGTGATGGAAATCGGGTTGTTTGTCGTGCTTGTAACAAGTTAGGGCATAAAGAATATGAGTGTTTCTCCAAAGGTTCTAATGGGAATAAGCAAAACAATAATTCAGAAGGGACCCAAAGGAACTTTTAGGGGAACAACAGTAAATTCAGTGGGAATAAAGGGAGCGCAGCAGAATGGAGCAAAGAACAACAATAATAGCAGCAATGGGAACAATCAACAGAAAAGTGGAGCTGCAGGAAAACTAAATGTATTGAGTAGGCATGAGGCTGATTCCACGAAGGATGTCACCACTGGTACTTTTTCTATTCTCTCTATTCCTGTTAAAGTTTTATTTGGTTCTGGTGTAACTTTTTCTTTCATTTCGAAAAGAATTGTTTCAAAACTTAAAGACTGTTTGAAAACAGTAGAAGTATTAGAATTACCAATGTAGACACCCAAATGTGTCTCCCCAAAACCAAACCCAGTGATGAATACCTTTCACGTCATTTGATTATTGAACAAAGTGAAAGTGTGGAAAGTCTAATGATGAGGATGGTTTTTTTTATTAAAATATTTCTCTTTTTGTTTGAAAAAATATTTCTTTTCTTACTCTATTTTATGAAAAATATCCAGTCCAATTTGGTTTGGTCGATGATAAGGGTCCAATAATTGTGTAGTTTGATTGGGCTCGAAAAGAGCTTTCCAATGATATATTGTAAGCCCAATTCCGATGTATTATGAGAAAGTTATGTATTAAATTAAATTAGGCCCAATGATCTAGAGGATGACCTATTAATTATTATTCCTAAAGCGATTAGGATTGATTTTAGGAAAAATTGTGGAAAATAATACAACCTTTGGCCCGTTCTTTTTTAATAATATAACCTTTTGATTAATTCTTAATAATATAACCTTTTGGGGGTGTCAATTTTAAACAAGAAAAAAAACTTGTAACCTTTAAAACCGATTACCCATGACACGTGTCATCAGGTAATTGGTCTAAATATTTAATTAAATTTTTTATTTAAATAATTAATTTTAGATTTAAAAAAAAAGAGAGAAAAAAGGCAACCACCTCTTCCACCATTCCACCACGGCAGCCCCACCCTTCCCTGGAGAACAAAAACCACCCTAATCCGAGCAACCACTACGCCACCTCCTCTCCCCTCCCCCTTCTCACGTTGACTCTGCCTCGTCGCACCGCTCCTCCTTTCTCTCTCCTCCATTGCACTCTACTCTCACTCTTCCATTGAAGCACCTTCTGAGCTTCGTCTCCTCCATTGAAGCACCTTCTGAGCTTTCTACCCTCCATTGAACCAGCAACATCACTCCTCCGCCGCCGACCGACCCAATTACCCCCTTACCCCAACCGACCTAATTACCCCCTTTCCCCCTGTCGATTTCCCCTTTCCCAACCACCACCAAAACGCGAACGACACAATGATGGGATTTTTTTTCGATATAGGGGAAGTGGAGGGGGGCGGTTTTTGAGCAACGAAAGGGGAGAGAGGTGGTTATCGGGATCTGGGAAAGTGAATGGGTGATTTTTGTGGTGTTTCGGGGGGTTTTGTGGTGGCGGCTGCGTGGATTAGGGTGGTTGTTGTGGTGGTTGGGAAGGAAAGGGGGTTAAGGGGGTGGTCTGCGTCGGGGTTAAGGGGGAAGTGGTCTGCGTGCCGACGGTGAGGATGTGGCTGGGTGGTTTAGGGTTAAAGGGGAAGGTCGGGGTTAGGGGGGGGAGAGGAGGTGGCTGGGTGGTGGTGGTTGGGTGGTTTGGGTTTTTTTTTAATTCTTTAATAATAATAATTATTTAATTTATTAATTATATTGAAAAACCAATACAACAATGACACGTGTCACAGTTACCTTCAAAAACAGGTTACCAACAGGTAATGTCTTATTTAAAATTGACACCCCCCAAAGGTTATTATTAAGAATTAATAAAAAGGTTTTATTATTAAAAAAGAACGGGCCAAAGGTTGTATTATTTTCCGCAATTTTTCCTTGATTTTAATCTTCTAGGAATATCTAGAAGGTTCTCGTTAATTCTAATAAGATTAGGATTGACAATTATATTTTTAAAAGATGTTTTATTTTGAATAAAATATATTAAATCTGATTTTAAATATGATTGGACGCATGATTACCTGTAACTGGTTCTAAAGGTAATTACGCATGTAAAAGCGCGTTGACTTTTGGACCAGCGTGAGACGACAGAGTCGTCGCCAGGCGCTAACCTTCGTCGCCATTGAGCTACGTTCGGCCTGATTCCTAACGGATACGTAGGCAACCTCACATTGAGGTGCGGCCACATTCATATTCATATCTATGCATGATCAAGTCAAAGAATATCCAATGCTTATCTCTATATCCCTACCCATTTAGAGCTAGACTTGGGGGCTTGAACCCACATCACATTAGCTTACCCAGCCTAAAGAGTCATCATCTTTGACTCTTCACACATATATTTCCATCACCATAACCTTTGCAGCCTCACCTTAGTATCAATTTTAGACACTTCTTTCACACATACATATCCATATCATCTTTCCCTTAGGAACCCTTTATCATGAAATCTTGTTTCCCTATCGCGCATGTTTCATCATCTTTCAAGACAACATTCATCAGAAGAAACGTTGTATACTTGCTTAGCTTCTTGACCTGAGCAATGTTCATTGTTTCATGCATCGCATAATGTGCTGAGTAATATTTCTATATCAATAATTTGTAATAATACAAAGCATATCGTTCTTAGCTCCTTGACCTAAGCAACATTCATAATCACTTCATCTATATACGTGCTTAGCTTCCAGACCTAAGTGACGTTCAAGATCGCTTCTTTACACCATATATGATGCTTAGCTCCATGACTTAAGTTCATTCATCTATCGAGTCACATGATGTAATTGTCCTTAGCCTCCTGGCCTAAGAACATGCATCATGCATAC